ATACCAAATAGTGGTTTTACTCTTTTTACAACCCATGACCTAATTCCTTCGTACTTGGTGGTATTAGTGAGTTCTTTGTCCYTCACAAAAAGTGTGAGAGCAGAATGCTTCTTGTTGGTCTGCCTGGGTGCCCGTGTGCAGCTCTTGCAGCAGCGATTCTGTTTTCTCACAGGGGAAGAAAGAGTTCCAGGTGTCCCTCTTCCAGACGTTGGTGCTGCTCATGTTCAATGAGGGAGATGGATTCAGCTTTGAGGAGATAAAAATGGCCACCGGGATAGGTAGGCAGACTTGTCAGGACGTCCCAAAGCCCATGCTCCCCCAGGAGCTGGTGGCGGCCTGTCTCTCCTCGTCTTGGAGGCTCTGGTGGGTTCATGCCGACCTGTGCTTGCTCTTGCTTTGCCTCCCATGCAGAGGACAGTGAACTGAGAAGAACGCTGCAGTCCCTGGCCTGTGGCAAGGCGCGTGTCCTGATCAAAAGTCCCAAAGGAAAGGAGGTGGAGGACGGGGACAAATTCCTCTTCAATGCAGAGTTCAAGCACAAGCTGTTTAGAATCAAGATCAACCAGATCCAGATGAAGGAAACCGTACGTACAACTCTCTTTTTACTGGGTGCTCGCCAGAAGATCATGGGTTTTCATAGTGATTCTAGACAGAGGTCCAGAGCGTTTTCTAAGACTGATTTGAGTACCTGTGTTTATAAAAGCACTTATTTTCACGTAGCGTTCGTGAGCTTTATAGTCTCCATGAGAAGGAAACTTGGAAATCTGTTCAGCAGCAGCGATTCCCACTCACACGGTGATGTGCTGCGTCAGCTCTGTGGCAGCAGATTCTCCTGGCACAAAAAGCAGGTGGATTTTCAGAACTGGGTACCTGGGCCTGGGGCAGGAGCCTGCTGCAGTGTCTGTGTGGTACCGTGACAGTGTGGCAGCGTGAGCAGGGAGCAGACCCTCGAGTGTCCRTGGTGTGGACGGACTCGAGACCCCAGCTCTCACTGCTGCCGCAGTGCCCCATAGCCCGCCTGTGGGCAGGTTCCAGCCACACCTGCATGGCGTGTGCCAAGGCTCATGAAGGGGTGGGGCCCCTCCAGAGGACAGAGGACACCTCGGATYAACCCAGGTACCCACAGGTACCTCTCCAGCTCTGGCTTTGACAGTGGGAGGCTTCAGGAAGCCAGACAGGAAGTGCATTCAGATCATTCGCAAGGAAACTCCTGAGAGCAGCCACAGTGTAAAATGATGTTGACTCACATCAATAATCCTCTGAAATTAAAGTAGTATTCCATTTTCCATGTGAGTGGGAACAATGCTAAGAAGTTGGTGATCTCCAGGTGGCAAGTGTAGGGAAAGAGACGTCCTTTTTGGGAAGGTGTTGAATTGGTGCAGGCTTTGTGTGCTCGTGTGCCTTTACTTTCCTGAAAGACTATTTTCTTAGCACCGTTCTAGATTCATAGCAAAATTGACAGGCAAGTGTAGAAGTCTCGCACATACGCCCTTCCCTGCCCCCGTGGCCTCCCCGCCGTCCACACCCCGTTGGCACAGTGAGTGGGCTGCAACGCCTCGATGCCACGTGCACAGCCTGTGTGGGGTTTGCCCTTCGTGCTGTGCCTTGGTGGGTTTGCAGTATTGTGTCGAGGGGTGTCCCTGCCCGCCTGCCCTCTGCCCTGTCGGCTCCTCCCTGCCCTGGCAACTCCTGGTCTTCCACGTCTCTGTGAGTCTCACTTCCTGTAGAACCTTCTATGGAACCTACCTGGGCCTCTCAGGAGGGCTCCATCTCTCAGCAGCGTGCTCCAAGATGTCCATCGCTGCTGCCCATCTTTTCCAGACACTTTCTGTGTTTGTATGCCCTCCAAGGGTGCAGTGAGCATCCTGGCCTAGATTTTGTGGGGTGGTTTCCACCTCTAAGGGCAGGTTGGCATCTGTTACAGATTTGGGTGCACATACCCTCCGCCTGCTCTGGATTACAAATGTCGAGTCGTCATGTTGCCACGTGTGTGATCCCACAGTGGCTTCTGTGACATGCCTGTCACACACTGTTCTTACTGTGGGAACGTTGCATGCGTACCATTTCTGTGCACTGACCCCTACCGCTGGTCCCTTCTGATGTCACCCTGGGATGGCTTCCTTGAATTATCACCTTTGTTATGTATCAGGTTCCTGCATTTGGGTCAGCTTCTCAATCCTGTCTCCAGGTTCTGCTGATCCRTTTTCACAGCCAGCACCTAATTCCTTTTATTTTTTTCCCCCAGTGCTAGGAATTGACCCCAGGGCACTTCACATGCTAGGCAACTGCTCTACCAGAGCCACACCCTGACCCCCAGAGCATTTTAGGTAATATACTTACTCCTCTAACTCTAGCCCTCCCAGTAAATTTGAGAGCCACATTGTCCTCTTGCTCAGCTTGCATTCCCCGGCTTTCAGGTCCCCTCTCGGGGTTCTCGTGTGTACAGGCCTCAGCCTCCTGGTTCACGCTGATCAGTAGTTGCACATGTGTGCTCGTTCAGCAGACCACAGCTCGCACCTCCTGTGGGCCCTGGGAGCTCTTGTGACCATGGAGATCCGGCCGGCTGTTCATAGCTATGCCCAGCAGTCCTGTCCAGCACATAGACGATTCCTTCAGCCAAGGGCACTGTGGTAGTAGGGAAGTACAGGGAGCAAAGCCCTTCCTAAAGAAGTGATGGTGGCTTTCTGCAGGCTGCGACGAAGTGTAGGCCGTAAAGCATTTGCAAGCCACCAGAGAGCTGAGGCAGGATGGCCAGCTTTTTAATATTTTTTAGTTGCCAGAAGCAGGATGGTCTTCGTTTTTTAATATTTTTTAGTTGCAAGTGGACACAATACCTTTATTTTATTTATTTATTTTTTATTTTTTTCTAATATTTATTTTTTTAGTTTTAGGCGAACACAATATCTTTATTTTGTTTCTATGTGGTGCTGAGAATCAAACCCAGTGCCTCTTGCATGCTAGGCAAGCGGCTACCACTTGAGCCACATCCCCAGCCCTATTTTATTTCTTGRTTTTTATGTGGTGCTGAGGATCGAACCCAGTGCCTCATGGGTGCGAGGCAAGCGCTCTACCACTGAGCCGTAACCCCTCTCGGGGTCTCTGATCTTTACATTTCTGATGGTGTTTTTAGTGTGTGTAGATCAGCACTGTTTATCTTTGTGCATTTTTCTTACTTTAGCCCCTTTATAAAATTCTCATCAGCTTTGATGGTTTTTCAGTTGATTTTCTTAGATTTTTCTAGCTCATCTAAAAATAATGATCATTTTATCTGTTGCTTCTTAGTATATCTTTTTAGTTTGTTCTCAGTTGCATAGGTAGACCCTTTTAAGTATAGTGTTTTGTTTTTGTTTTGGGGTTTTTGTTTTTGTTTGGTACTGGGGATTGAACGGGTCGCCACCACTGAGCTACATCTCCAGCTCTTTTTTATTTTTTTTAATTTTGAGACAGGATCTTGCTAAGTTGCCCAGGCTAGCCTCAAACTTGGCAATCCTCCTGCCTCAACCTCCTGAACAGCAGAAGTTACAGGCATACGCCAGGGTGTTCCACTTAAGTAATGTTTTTAATTTTTGTTTGTGGTATTTACTATTTGTTTCTAGTAATTGTTCTTTATCATGTTTAAATTCTCCCCCCGCCCCCACTCATTTTAAAAATCAACCCTTACTTGACAAAGGTTGCTTTAAATCAAGAATCACTCTTCCAACCTGCCATGCCTCTTCACATCTCCAGGTGGCCACGCAGCCTACCATGGGCTGCAGTCTGGCTCCTGGTGTCAGGCAAAACTCATTGTGTAATAAGTCCTGGTGCTTTGTTTACTGCTGATTGAACATTCTGATAAGGAAAACATGACTTTTAAAATCAGCTTCGACTTTTGTTTTTGAGTGTGCCATTCTAAGAAGCTGTTTTCCTAGAACAAATGAAAACACCTAATAAAAGAGGGTCTCTCCACGGTCTGGCCTCGATTTACATCAGAACAAAACTTGTCAAACTCAACAACGTGAAGCAACACAGAAAACATTTTCACACTCTGTTCCTGTCTTTGCACAGGTTGAAGAACAAGTGAGCACTACCGAGAGAGTGTTTCAGGATAGGCAATACCAGATTGATGCTGCTATAGTCAGAATCATGAAGATGAGAAAGACTCTTGGTCACAATCTTCTAGTTTCTGAGCTGTATAACCAGCTGAAGTTTCCAGTCAAGGTAAATGTCTCCRTGGCTTTAGTGGCTGGGTGCAGCTCCGTGGTGCAGCTCTTGCCTGGCATGTACAAGGGCCTGGGGCTCCCTCAGCACAGAAAACCACAACAGTATCCTGCTAGTGTGGATGAGTGTGTGGCATTGTGCTGCCCTGTGTCCAGGCCCTGACCAGCCTCTACTGGGGTGGTGCACAAGGAGGCCCTGAGCAGGGACACTGGACAGTGGGGTGTGAGGGCTTGCTGCACACCTGCCACCCCGTGGGGAGGAAGAGACAGAAGGCCCTTCTCCACAGTGGAGGGGATCCTACAGGAATCATGATAGTGGCTCACTCAGCACRTAGAAGCTGCCTTGGTGGTAGCTCATGCTGCTATGTGTGCAAATCGCCTTGGGCTGTGCCCCTGCACTGTGCACGCTCCAGACCTGAGCTGCTCCTCCCTGTTCAGGACATGGGGTAGCCTGGGCRGGTATTACAAAAGTGGTCGGAAAGTGAGTCAGGAAGCACATTCCGCACCCTGGAAGGTGTCWGCTCTGGACCTGGGCCTGCCAGAGGGTCAGAGTCCCCTGCTTCTGTGATGCAGGTTTCCCTCCCTCCTCACCAGGTGGGTCCCAGAGGGAGCTGAAGTGCCGCTCAGCTGATGTGCAGAGCCCTTGAAACTGTTTCCTGCCCCCGCCAGGCCAGTGCTTCTCCCGGGGCCCACGGCCGCCTGCGGGGAAGCAGCAGGTGTGGGGTGCGGCAGCCAGGCTCCCAGGTCTGCTTCCCAGGCACCTGGTGTGGCTGCTGCTGAATGGAATGGTCCACTGTTTGGCAAACAAGAGTGCCACCCTGAGCGGGCGGTGCTCAGAGACAGGAGCACAGGTCCCCCTCGAGGTGTGGGGAGGTGTGGTGGCACCCCCCCGGCGGTGGCTCACTGAGGCAGAGGAGCACTGGGACTCTGTGTCTGCGCTGTAGGCACAGCCTGCGGAGAGCACACGGTCACCAAGTGGAGTGCCCAGGAGAGGTGCCCTCCCAGAGGCCATCAGGTTTCCTTCCCTGTGGGCGCCATGCAGCTGGCCTGCTCGTAGCTGGCGATGCGTGAGGGGTGCTGTGTGTCCTGTGACTGTCGGTGACTTAGGAATAGGTGTCCTCTGGGGATCATGAGCATGTGCTTCCTTGGGCACGTCCGCGGGTGGGTGCTGCTGTACTGAGGAGCCCTCTTGTCTTCTCTTCAAGCCTGGAGACCTGAAGAAGAGAATCGAGTCTCTGATAGACAGAGACTACATGGAGCGTGACAAGGACAGTCCCAACCAGTACCACTACGTGGCCTGACACGCCTGCAGGGTGGCGAAGCCCACTCGCTCCAGGAGCCTGCCGCTGGACACGGGAGACCCTCGGCTCACCGGGGGGGGAGACGACAGACCATCTCGCCCAGGGTGCAGGGTCTTCACGTGACACGTCCTTCCCTCCAGTTCTTTCTCAGTTCTCTTAGGCATTTAGATGTTCGTTGCTCTGTGTGGAATGACTTTGAGGTTGGACGCAGGTGGTAGTTGACAGGAGTCCTCCACAAGTCCTGCGGCTCTGTGGAGGGAGCCGCCATTGGGTTGGTGTGTGTGTGTGTGTGTGTGTGTGTGTGTGGGTGGGTGTGGGGTCCTGAGTGCACGATGAAGAGACCCTCCATGCTGCATCAAAGTCCCAGAGTGCTCCGTTGACAAGCCTCAGAGTGAGAACAGGAGCCCCCACAGGCGACCATGGGAAGAGAGCAGGTCCCATGGGCAGCTCAGCCCTGCAGCCAGAACCCTGCGTCCGTGTTCAGGGGTCCCAGAGAGGTCTAACCTGTGGCAACRGATTTTTATAAATAGGGCTTTCAAGCCAGGTCCCTGTGTCATCGCGCTGAGCCCAGCGCACAGCCAGTGGCCTACAGCGAGGACCTGCGTGCCCTCTGCTGAGGGCTGGACCTGGCCCCTGTTTTCCTTCTGAGGGCCGGCACCTGCTTTGGTTTCTTAACTTGCAGTATTTGTGTGATTACCGTGATAGATACAGTTTGGTTTGTTTGGTTTCCCAGTCCTGAGCAGGGACTGCCCTGTTTTCTGCCCCACCCTGCAGGAAGTTCCCTAGCYGACTTGACAGTCCTGACCTTGTGACACAGTGGTCATTTTGTCAAAAGATTAAAGGGTTTTGTTGGTTCMTGGTTACATGTGAACACACACAGGGGGTGGAATGAGAGTTGAGTGGAGACGTTTCTATGGTGACAATGACAAAGATGCTCTTGTGAGAACATTGGAAAGTACTTTCCATTTTACAGAGTACCATGTTTCATTTTGATTAAAAGTACCAAAGGAATTTTGATCATGGTATCGTGTTTGAAGCAATATTTTCTGGAATATACCGAGTTTATATAATTTGATTTATGCTAAATTTATTAAAGGATTCTCCCTTTTTGAGACATGCGTGTTTAAAATATGACATCTTTTGGGTTCCCATGTTAAAATTCTTCCTTACTCTTTAAATATCATCATTTCTATATTTGTAAATTTTCATTTATGAGTTCTATATGAGGTCTATGAAAGACCAGATAGATTTCTATTTCTATTCTTATATTTTAGGTTCATTGTGTCTAGAGATTGTTAATATTGTAATTTAATATAGACTTTGAATAAAATTAGTTTAATTGGCCTTAAAATTACATTAATAAAACTTTTTGGTATGCAAACTACACATTCCTCATAACTGTTGAGCAATTTCAATTATCAACATGCCAGTAAAGGGAAGCCCTTGGTGCTCTCCAGTGGCTGTCCCTTCCTGGTCCCCTGTCAGCAGCAACAGGAGAGGCAGAACCTCACAGRCACAGCGCTGGGCTGGGCCCCTCCTCCCACTAACAACTGTCCTTTCCCATATTTTCAGCATCAGCCAGTGTTTTAATAAAGTTAATGTGGTTAACTCATGGCACAGAGGAAATAACTGAAAAGGAACACAGTCAAGAAAAAAGTTGTGAAGTTAGAAAGGTG